GAAGTTATAGTGAATCACAAGTTGTCAAAAAGAGACAATAAATGCTGACGAAGATTGACGGCGCAGTTCAGCGAGCCACAAGGCCGGACACAACAGCCAGGTGTCTAGCTCGTGGCTGCACGTACACCAGTTCGTATGTTGACGCCCAGCTCATGTCCACAATTCTATCATCAATTGAGTTCTGTTGAGTGTAGCTTCTTGTACGACGTCTGAGGGTAGTTTTGGAGGACAACATTGGTTTGCAAGTAATTATAGGTCAAAGCTCACAGAGCAGTGGAGATGCTAGTGGCCCTAGTACCAACTGCAGCACCGCCAACACTCTCACAGCACTCCAGCCACACCACTATCAGCTACCACACCACAAACAGCAGCCACAGCATCATCCACCTCACCATCACCTACAGCGCCACCAACCCCACTATCATCCACAGCAGCAGCACCACCAACCACAGCACCACCACCACCAACCACACCACCACCACCACCCCCAACCACACCACCACCACCACCAATCACAGCACTACCACCACCAACCACAGCACCACCACCACCAACCACAGCAGCATCACCACCACCACCATCAACCACAGCAGCACCAACCACACCACCACCACTCCAGATAATGTCCCCTGCAGCCAGCACATTGTCCGGAGCATAATACACCACACAGCGTCATCACAAAAATTGAAGGCGCGGGGCTGGCTCCCTCCCTGGGCGTCTTTGCTCTTCTCAATACGTCTCCTCACGTCTTGCTCTGGTGCTTCTATTATTTTATTTACAATTTACTTCGTCTTGTTAAGAGTTCCACTTAAAATTTCCTCTCGCTGGGAGCCTCGAGAAAGATGTAGTTGGCGCTGCGGATGTTTTTATGATAATTTTTCTGGGTAAAATTTTTGCTTTGTTTAGGTTTTTTGACTCGTCAGCCAATGGCAGCTCTTTCCGCCTTTTTACCGCCAAATCCCGCCTTTTACCGCCAGTGGAATCAGATGTTGCCACTTGTGCGGGAAGGGCTGGGAAAGCTATAGTTGCTAAGACAAGCACGACTGGCTATTTTTAGCACGTGCTTAGCATGTATATGCACTTACGAAGATGAGAAACAGCTTTGAATATCTCTCTTTGTGGATTTATTAAACATAACGTAATTAGCATTTCTTCACAAACGCATTATTAGTCTTGAGTGTTTTATATGTGTTTTATTTTCTAGACGAGCAAGATTTGCCTAATTAATTCATGACTTCCTTGGGTGTATAATGTTTAGAAGGTAATATACTTAGGCAATTCTGAGTTTGTTTTCTTTTTGCCAATTGTTTATATCTTTGTGTTTCTCACAATTTTCACACATTTTTCCATGTTTTATTTATTTACTTGCAGGCTAACGTTATTAGCCATGGTATTTATAGTTTTGTACTGTGATACCCCAACCACTTGGACTGGACGGTAGAGCAGCGGTCTCGCTTCTTGCTGGCCGGCGTTCCTGTCATCTGTCCTATCACCCTCTGGTTATCCTTGTCCCTTCCAGTTGTTATATAGTCGTAATGACTTATTGTTCTCTCCTGATAATTACCTTACTCCTCCCTATCGTTACCCCTTCCTCCTTCATATTATTTCCTGCCTTCGACGCCAACCTGGTGAAGGTAGGGCATTGGTAGCCCCTTGGTACCAGGTATTATTTCTGGTACTGAGCTCTCCTGTCAATCAGAACGCATGTATTGAGCACCAGGACCTGTGTGCAAGAGTAACTGCTGGCTTCTGACTTACGGTTATCATACATCATCGAGATGTGATGATTTATCTCTAATTTGATTATATTTATTTGGACTGAGTATGTTAGTCATGGCCGCCAACAGCGTTGATCTGACGATCACATGTAACCTTCCCAGTTTTTTCTAATGCAACTGCTAAACCGGTAGTGTTTCTCCGTCTGTTTAACAAACAGATCCGACTGTCCGCGGGTCTGTTTGTGTGTCTATATATACCCGTTTTCGTGAATTAGTCGTGTGTGTACCTTTAGTTTGCCTTCCTATGTTTGTGTCTCAGAGCAACAGGTACTTCTGACACACATTATAGATAATGTTTTTCTGTTTTTATTGTGAGAATTTATTTAGTCTGTGAGTGTCCAGTTATCAATTAAATAAGCATTTTGCGAATCTTTCTTGCATTGTTTGGTGATATGTTCACCAAGTGAAGACAAGAACTGCTATGTTTGCAAAAGATTATGTTGGTGTTAGAGCTGGAACTGTATGGTTGTACTCTATATAATGTTGTATGGTTGTACTCTATATAATGGTGTATGGTTGTACTCTATATAATGTTGTATGGTTGTACTCTATATAATGTTGTATGGTTGTACTCTATATAATGTTGTATGGTTGTACTCTATATAATGGTGTGTGGTTGTACTCTATATAATGTTGTGTGGTTGTACTCTATATAATGGTGTATGGTTGTACTCTATATAATGGTGTATGATTGTACTCTATATAATGTTGTATGGTTGTACTCTATATAATGGTGTATGGTTGTACTCTATATAATAGTGTATGGTTGTACTCTATATAATGTTGTATGGTTGTACTCTATATAATGGTGTATGGTTGTACTCTATATAATAGTGTATGGTTGTACTCTATATAATGTTGTATGGTTGTACTCTATATAATGGTGTATGGTTGTACTCTATATAATGTTGTGTGGTTGTACTCTATATAATGGTGTATGGTTGTACTCTATATAATGGTGTATGGTTGTACTCTATATAATGTTGTATGGTTGTACTCTATATAATGGTGTATGGTTGTACTCTATATAATGGTGTATGGTTGTACTCTATATAATAGTGTATGGTTGTACTCTATATAATGTTGTATGGTTGTACTCTATATAATGGTGTATGGTTGTACTCTATATAATGTTGTATGGTTGTACTCTATATAATGGTGTATGGTTGTACTCTATATAATGGTGTATGGTTGTACTCTATATAATGTTGTATGGTTGTACTCTATATAATAGTGTATGGTTGTACTCTATATAATGCAGTGCCTGGCTGGTAAAATATTGGAATATCTCAGAACTTTACACAGCTGAAGAGAGGGGTTGAGAGAGTGAGAGGAAGGAAGGAAGGAAGCAAGGAATGAAAAAACGAAAGAAGGCCGGAAGAATTGAATGTGTTACATATATTATAATGGAAATACCTGTTTGTGCCCACCTTCATATCTCCGGGTACACTGCTTAGAAAATAATGTTGTGTTGTGAGAAAGAAGAGCACCTTCTCTGACCCCTCCTCTCTCCCTCCCTCTCTCCTCCAGGGAAGAGGAGAGCAGATCCGGGTAATATATTCTGCCTGCGTGCCGTCCTCATGAGTAAGATGGAACTGTGGGCCACCTCTGCTTCTTGCTGGCAGGTGGCACAGGTGGCCCATCCCTGCTTCCTGCGGCCAGGTGGCACAGGTGGCCCACCCCTGCTTCCTGCGGCCAGGTGGCACAGGTGGCCACCCTGCTTCCTGTGGCCAGGTGGCACAGGTGGCCCACCCCTGCTTCCTGCGGCCAGGTGGCACAGGTGGCCACCCTGCTTCCTGTGGCCAGGTGGCACAGGTGGCCCACCCCTGCTTCCTGCGGCCAGGTGGCACAGGTGGCCACCCTGCTTCCTGTGGCCAGGTGGCACAGGTGGCCCACCCCTGCTTCCTGCGGCCAGGTGGCACAGGTGGCCACCCTGCTTCCTGCTGCCAGGTGGCCACCCTGCTTCCTGTGGCCAGGTGGCAGAGATTATTAACTAAGGCCAGGCATGACAGGGCCTGATGCCTATATTGGAGGTAATGAAAGCATTAGTTAAACACCACAGATAATAGTCGTGAACTAATATTAGAGGATGAAGGTCTCTACTGTGCAAGGTGAGCCAAACCTCACTCCTCCTCTACTCTAGCACACAGGTCGGGGATCGGTCCCTCAGACTCATGTCACCTCCGTCCCTCATATTTTCTTGTGTAGTGAGAGCTATTTCCCTCGACCTCATAGTTCAGCCTTTTAATGTATCAGTCTTACAGTGACATTATTAAGTACATCGATTTAAATACATTGTTTTCAGAACTTGTTTTCTGCACTTAAATACTGTTATACAGTTTATACATGATATTTAAACAATGACTAAATCGAAATTCCTCAGCCATGTCAAGCCAAATTCCCATTTTCCAAGAACCTGACAAAATGGTTCGATAAAAACTTGCTTTAAAATATCTGTTGATGTAAAAAAAACTGTAAAAGAAGTCCTCCTGAAGCTAATTAATACCTGAAATTTTAAGTTAATTAATTCGACACAACACGAAGGTGTTCCTCCTCCTCTTTCTCCTCTTCTCCTTCCGTCTCTTCACTCATTGCTTCTCTCCTCTTTATCTCTTGCCCAACCGTTTATCTTCCTCAGTTAACAATGCCTATGTTCACACGTTCTTTCTTTTCCACCTTTTCCACCGTCTCTTCCCCTACTCTTCTCACTCCCGTTCCTCGTTTTCACTTGCTCCTTTATCCCTTCTGCCACCATCTCACCCTCTCCCTTTCCTGTTCCATTGGCTACCTTATCCTCCCTCCCTCTTTCCTCCTCCATGCTTCACATTGCCTCTTTTCTTCCCCTCTTTTCTGCTATTTTTCTCCCATCGTTTGCCCCTTGTTCCCTTCCAACCGCTGGCTCTCTCCCCTCTTCGTCGTGTCCATAGTTTTCTCACAAGATCCAGCGAGAATGTGAGTTTCCCGGGAAGTTGAGTAATCCTGGAGCGAGAGTGAGAGGCCTTTTAAGAGATTGAATAAACTCGATGTAAATACTCTAGGCCTGACGGAGCTTTACATGGGTGATGACCCCGTGTGCTCTCTTCCTCACCTCTCCTCTCACTCCTCTTCCTACAGTTTTATTCCTCTTTTTCACTTCTGCTTTCTTCATTTCGGCTTTCCGCTTGCTCCTCCTTATCCTCTGTATTTTCTGTTTCATTTTCTTTTCTATCTTCCGCCTCTTTCTCATCTATCTTCTATTCTTCCTCTTCTACCTCTTTCTCTACGAACTCCTGTTCTTCCTCTGCATAATTCCTTTTTCTCTCCCTCATGTTCCTCTGACTCTACCTCCTTTTCATTTTGCTGAGCCATTCTCTCCTCTTCCTCTTTTCTCTCCTCTATACCCACTTCCTCCTTTACCACCTTCTCTTCTGACCGTCTTCGTCCCTGTGTCAACCGAGGCAACTTTGGGCTGCTGTCGCCAGATGTCACTTGCCTAAACCGGCCATAATTTATGAGTCCGCCTCCTTGTGGAAGGTAGACGGTGATCTGTAGTGTGGGAGGGGACGTGGGAGGGGAGGGGAGACGGTGATCTGTAGTGTGGGAGGGGAGGGGAGACGGTGATCTGTAGTGTGGGAGGGGACGTGGGAGGGGAGGGGAGACGGTGATCTGTAGAGTGGGAGGGGACGTGGGAGGGGAGGGGAGACGGTGATCTGTAGTGTGGGAGGGGAAGGGAGACAGTGATCTGTAGTGTGGGAGGGGAGGGGAGACGGTGATCTGTAGTGTGGGAGGGGACGTGGGAGTCGAAGGGAGACGGTGATCTGTAGTGTGGGAGGGGACGTGGGAGGGGAGGGGAGACGGTGATCTGTAGTGTGGGAGGGGAAGGGAGACAGTGATCTGTAGTGTGGGAGGGGACGTGGGAGGGGAGGGGAGACGGTGATCTGTAGTGTGGGAGGGGACGTGGGAGGGGAAGGGAGACAGTGATCTGTAGTGTGGGAGGGGACGTGGGAGGGGAGGGGAGACGGTGGTGTGGGAGGGGACGTGGGAGGGGAAGGGAGACGGTGATCTGTAGTGTGGGAGGGGACGTGGGAGGGGAGGGGAGACGGTGATCTGTAGTGTGGGAGGGGACGTGGGAGGGGAGGGGAGACGCACGGAAGGGGAAGCTGTTCCTGGAGAGGAGATAAAGTGTAGAGAAAACAGTAGAGGGTAATTGAGAGCAGGAAGAGAGATGGAGAATCATTTCCTCATCTCTGCTTTCCTAGCTAGCAGTCGCCTAGCTAATGCTACGACTCCCTTCCTGTCTGTCTCTTCTATGACCCATTAAATCATTATATTGACTTACTCTCATCTCTACTCTAGCACATTATATTACAATGTACTACAGGGAATTACATTATATTATATACTAGAGAGGATTATACTATATTATAATTTATTCTCATTGTGTGTAATCAATTATAAATGTGCAAACCTTTATGGATAATGTTTTATACATTTAAATTGAATTGACTTTCTCGGAGCCCTTACATCCTCTTAATTTTCTTGAAACTCGTCTGCTCCCCTGGTTACCACTTACGACCCTATTTCTACCCTTCCTTGGTGAGAATCTTGTATGTCGTTATCATGTCTCCTCAATTCTATCTCCTAATTTGTTTTTAGGTCTAGCCTTCTCAATCTTTCGTCGTAAGTTAGCCCTATTAGCTCAGGCATAAGCCTCACTGTTTGCTTCTGGATTTTGTTTAGAATAGCTCTGTGGTTTTTAAGTAAGGGTTCCATGCCAGGGCTACATAGTCTAGTTTAGTCTCACAGAGACTTGGTTGGTCTCACAGACTGGGTTAACCTCACATAAGCTGGGTACAGTATTGTGAAAGTCACCTTATCTAGATTTCTGAAAGTATTCTGATGTTCGCTAACTTCATATATACCGTTGATGTTAGGATTATGGTTCACTCCCACAGTAATTCAGCAGTTAGAGCCCATTTCAGTGTATTTAAAGCCTTCTCGCTTCTTCCACAATTCTCAATACCTGGCGGAAAGTTAGTCAGTATGGAACATTATATTGTAGAATGTCCCATACTGGCTAACTTTCGCCTCTCTGGGGTTGAGATATTCTGAACTCGATAAATACTATCTGAGTACTGGAACACTTGATGATATACTGGACTTATACCCAAGATTGACTATATAATGCATCAGGTATACAATGTATGTGATGTAACTATACCCTGAGCTTGAAAAAGCATCTTTAATCACCTTGATTGGTTAAGTGCTTAATAACACACTAGTATTATTAAGCAGCTGGCTTACCCTGTCAAAGTAGGAGAGACATAAATGTATGTGTGGAAGCTGATCAGAAGCTGTTTCATCTTTGTAAACACACAGTAACGACACTATGTCATTGATAACTCGAACACTATGTATGTAGGACAGACATACATCTGTGTATTTATGTATGCAGGTTTGATTAGCATTTTAAAACCACAAACACTTTCTGTGATTAATTGTTCACTAAATCACTGAACAATATATTCAACAGATCTCTAACCCTGTCTATAGAGGACAGAAAAAAATGTATATGTGCTGCTTAGCATTGTAAATGTGTGGCCACGTCTGTGGTAGGAAAAAAACTTAAAATAAAAAACATCATTAAGAAATAAATTTAATTGACTCAAAAGTCTTAAACTTTTTACCTCGTGAAGTGTCCACTTCATAGAAAATTAATTCAAACCTTTTAAACATGGATTAATTAAGTCACACTCCACCAATAAGAACTATTTTAGAGAACAGGAGACTCGACAAACAATAAGGGCATGAAACGTAAGGAAGGTAAGCGAGGAACAAATGTGGAACATGAATCCTTTGCTAACAATGTCATTGAACATTTGGAATAAATTGTTCTCTATTGTTTGCACAAAATTCAATCCAGATGTTTTAAGGGACGGCGAGAGAGGTATTGTGACACTTTAAATTTCAATTTAGATCCTATTAACAAATTCAAAACACACATTGTAGTATATTCCGACATGTAAAACTTGCAGTGGTAGTGGTGTGTGTACACAGTGGGAGAGATGTGTGTGTACACAGTGGTAGAGATGTGTGTGTACACACATCTCTACAACACAGTACAACTGTGTTGTACAACAGAGACAGTACAACAGAGGCAGTACAACAGAGACAGTACAACAGAGACAGTACAACAGAGACAGTACAACAGAGGCAGTACAACAGAGACAGTACAACAGAGGCAGTACAACAGAGGCAGTACAACAGAGGCAGTACAACAGAGACAGTACAACAGAGGCAGTACAACAGAGACAGTACAACAGAGGCAGTACAACAGAGACAGTACAACAGAGACAGTACAACAGAGACAGTACAACAGAGGCAGTACAACAGAGACAGTACAACAGAGGCAGTACAACAGAGACAGTACAACAGAGACAGTACAACAGAGGCAGTACAACAGAGACAGTACAACAGAGGCAGTACAACAGAGACAGTACAACAGAGGCAGTACAACAGAGACAGTACAACAGAGACAGTACAACAGAGACAGTACAACAGAGGCAGTACAACAGAGACAGTACAACAGAGGCAGTACAACAGAGGCAGTACAACAGAGACAGTACAACAGAGACAGTACAACAGAGGCAGTACAACAGAGACAGTACAACAGAGGCAGTACAACAGAGACAGTACAACAGAGACAGTACAACAGAGACAGTACAACAGAGGCAGTACAACAGAGACAGTACAACAGAGACAGTACAACAGAGACAGTACAACAGAGGCAGTACAACAGAGACAGTACAACAGAGACAGTACAACTGGACCTGTTCATCACACTGTGTGTTCACCACCGACACAAATTAACAATAACACAAACAATCGCCAGTTCTGTCCTGCAGAAGGATAACATTCCCAAATAAACCAACCATGCCAAGTTGCTCCGGCTAAAACATATCAAACAAAACCTTTGAGACATTAGGCATAACTCAACCAGAGGCAACACAGTGACCTGTGGAGTGAGGCACCCCGCCTGGCACTGTCGCGGTGCCAGAGGGTGCCAGGGCTACATGCTAGGCTGTTTAGACACAAAATACCAAAGTGTTGTGACTGTGGACGGTGCACAGTGTGTTCTGATAACAGCGGGAGAAAAGAACCAAGCCGTGGCAGCTAACATCCCAAAACACTGCATTAACCTCGTCTTCACCACCGGAAGGGTGGGGAGGGATGTGGGAAGGGGAGGGGCAAGGGAAGGGGAAAGAGGAGAGCTAGAGAACGATGGTACGAGAATAGGTGGAAGAGAAGGGTTGGGAGTGGGAGAGCAGTTTAGGATCTGGGAGAGAGAGTGAGGGAGGTTAGGGAGTGATAGAAGGGGATGTGAGATGGGGTGGGAGTACCAAGTGGGTGGCAAGTGAGTGGGAAAGTCAGGAAAGGGAAAGAATAAATGAGGAAAATATAATGCTAATAAAGAGGGATAAAGAATATATTAAAAAGAGATAGAGAGAGAGAGAGAGAGAGAGAGAGAGAGAGAGAGAGAGAGAGAGAGAGAGAGAGAGAGAGAGAGAGAGAGAGAGAGAGAGAGAGAGAGAGAGAGAGAGAGAGAGAGAGAGAGAGAGAGAGAGAGAGAGAGAGAGAGACAGAGAGAGAGAGAGAGACAGAGAGAGAGAGACAGAGAGAGAGAGAGAGAGAGAGAGAGAGAGAGAGAGAGAGAGAGAGAGAGAGAGAGAGAGAGAGAGAGAGATCAATTACCCTCACCAGCTTGGGGGTGACTGCGGGAACAGCACTACCTACAACCTCTCCCAGACATTAAACAAACAGCTCAACAATACCCTGCGGTTAGATCCAACGTATTCTAAACCCTCCTCCCAATTCCCGCCGTTATTCCAGCGGTTAACCAATATTACCACCCAATTCTAATTGCATCATCAATTGAGTAGTTTCTCCACTGGTGGCTGTCACGAAAGCCACAATTATAGACGTCATTATGCTGGGTTTGAAATAACATTGAAACCGTTTCTAAATTGCATAGTTTCCTGCATTGCATTATAGTTTGGCTGGGTCTTGTGGAGAGTAATTAGCAAGTTCAACAGGAAGAGCGACCATTACCCTGTGCACGTAAACTCATGTAGACACGCATGCGCGCGCCACACACACACACAGCTCCAGGTCCACCAGCAGTAACTGAGGACCTGGATGTAAACCGATTGGCGAATTATGTTCTAGGGAGACCTTGTACAGCAATTCTTAACCTGAACTGTGAAAAGGTAAAGGTCTGAGCCTACTAACAAAAGTCTGAACTAGTCTACTGAGAGAGAGAGAGAGAGGAAAATAAGTGTTGGTAGTGACACATGAGTGACACTTAACTCACTCCTTCGTTATCTGCGTTAATTACCACCTTGCCTGACACCTGCACCACCACACTGCTATATATATGGTGTTAA